AACTCCCATTTCACATGTATAAATCTCCTTGGGTCTGCAGTTTCTACATTCTCCCAGTTCAGGTCCATCCCTACCCCACACAACGGTCTTCTTGGAAGTGAAGTCTGTAATTTGACAGCTCATCAACCGGTGCGATATGGAAGTTTATTTCTTGTCATTATTTCCATTTTTGCTTTCTCAGATCTATGTCTCAGCATTTTTCTTATGGTTCTTCCATGTTTACTTTCATCATCCTGAACCACAATCCTCACTCAGACAACTGTGCTTGGATGAACATTGTGACATTCCATGACTTTCCTGATCCAGCTTGGTTTCCAAAACTTCCTTCATTTTTTATTAAACCTTTGTACTGAAAAAGGGCTTTGACCATATCCCTCAGGGAGCAGACACTCTCCTTAAACATATACATATATTATGAGTTTCAGGCAGGCAGAAGTGACCCTTCACAAAAATACCTGGTGTGATACGAGATGCTAAAAGGAAATTTTTGTTGAGAAGATTCTCGAATAATTATTATTTCAAGTCATATTTATTTTATTTTTGCAGTAGAGGCTATTGGGGCCATTATGTAGTGATATTGCATCAGAAAATGCGAATGGCTTTTGCTCCTCTTCTCTGTTGTCTTTTCCAGTTTGTTCAAAACCTAAGGATTTTTTAAAGTATGAGAGCATCCTCACCACAAATGCATACTTAAGTAATGTATTTTTATTGCAAGTAAGCAATAAAGTACCTAATATTGGACATGAAGAAATAGTTATTCTTTTTTATCCCCAGACAATTTTTTATCAGCTGTGTGGTGGCACAGCAGTGTATCTTCTATTGGGGGAAAACAGCATTTAATCATTAGTCATTATTAGAGGGACTTGACATTGCATCCCATTGAATTTTATTGCTGTCAAGATATCGTGGTCAGTTCTCAGCCAAACCTACAAATCTGGTTTGGCCCTTGATGAAGGCTAACCAGTGGCACTGAAATAAAGAAAGCTGGAAATAACTCAGACCTTGTGATAAAACTTGGCAAGGACAGGGTTGCTGTCTCTATTTTAAGGCACAAAGTATTTATCAGCCTTTGACACAATAGAAAGGAGAAATAAAATAATGCATATGCAAGTAGTTAAGTTCTTTACCAAGAGAGTGGTGAGGTGCTGGAACAGGCTGCCCAGAGATGCTGTGGATGCCCCACCCCGGGAGGTGTTCAAGCCAGGTTGGATGGGCATCTGGGCAGCCTGGTCTAGTATTAAATGTGGAGGTTGTTGGCTCTGCATGCAGAAGGGGGGTTAGAACTTGATGATTCTTGAGATCCCTTCCAACCCAAGCTATTCTATGATTCTATGTTTCTATGAAGTAAGTGTTAAAATCAAAAAGCTCATTGTGCAAATGAACAATAACTTTCTGTTATTGTTTTCAGTTGTGCTACCTGCATTATCTAGAGAAACCCTTGGAATGATTCTTGGAGATCTGGCAATCACTGGTAGTAAGTAAAACATGACTATTGGTTTCAGTCAATATGTTTTCATTTAGGAATAAATGTCTATTGCAGGAAGTAGAGGACTGCTGTTTGGTTCTGTGGGCTCTCTGAAGTATCGATACCAAATAATAATAAAAAACATTTACATAGAGATACTATTGCTCCACTTGATTATTCTGTGAGGAGATTTCACAACCTTTTTAAAGTGGAGGGGGTTAGAAATAAGCAAAAAAAAAACAAAGCCCTTTTTCTTCCCAGTCTTTAATCACAACAACTGAAAGATTAGTGACTTTTAACCTTGAATTTATTATTTTCCCAATATGAAGCTCATTCTTTTGTTACCATCTTCCATTAAATTGTTACTATATAAAGTAATGATTTCAAAAGAAAAGGAAGTGATAAGTTATTGAAAGACATATCTCAAAATGTTTTCACTCCCACCAAATTCAGAAAACCATTTCCTCTGGAAGACCTGAACAATGCCTCAGTCTGCTGCAATTTGTTTTAAAGTTACTAAGTATACAAACTGTTCCTTGAAAACGATAGAACTTATCCTCCCCTCTCTCTTCACATCGTACATACAAATAGCACCCTACTTTTCTCTTCTCCCTTTATCCATCTTTATTGGAGATTTTTTGTTTTGCTTTTTCTCTGCTTAGTGATTTAGCTGAAACCTCCTCACACCACATACAAATCCTATACTGACAAGCCAGCACAGTTTAAATTATTCACACTTCAGTGTACATGAGCTGCAGTGCAACAATCAGCTGAGCAATCATTCCATTCACTGGTCTCTTCTGAACTTATTAATGACAAATCACAAGAAGAAAAATAGAATCCTGTGCAGCTAATGAAAGCTTAAGTCTGAGTAAAATCATTTCCATATAAGCACATAAAATCACATCAGCAGCAACAACAAAAAAGCCTTAGTAAGATTAGCTTAAATGTATAAATGCATAAATAAAGTAAAAATTAATATTAAAAGACCATGGAACAATTGTTAAGACCTATCTTTTGTACATTTGATATGACAGCATAGAGTCACATTAAAGTCTTTAAAATCTTTTTTTTTTTTTTTTTTATGATAGTGAGATTCTTTAATCAATCCTCTAATTATATGCCAGAGATAAAAATAAGACAGTGGAAACTGTAGAGGAGGCCAGGAAACATGAGCAACTGCTTCAACTGTTTTGACCAAAGCAGTTCAGCTGACATAAAGCATGATACTGAGTCAGGTTTATACAGCAGGGAAATGACATTTAGCATTGTAGTTCAATACAACAAATAAGATATCTTGAAACACACACAAACAAAAAAAAAAAGAAATGTGCATTTTTAAATTGAATTTTGTAGAAAACAGAGGAATTTCTTTATATTCATCTCCCTCTAACATGAAATCTGACTGCTTTTTTGTTTGTTTGTTTGTGTAAATGGAGAGGAAATTCTCCAGGACATATGGTGGTAGTGGCAGGCCAGAGGCAGGCAACTGAGTGAGTAATGTTTCTTCAGAAGAAAAAGGATAGGAAAAGGAAAAAAACAAGAATTTATTCAAAAAAAGAGGTTTTAGCCCTGATACATGTTGCATATCTTTTGATACACTGATCTTCATGTAACAGAAGTAAGAATCGTGTGGACATGTGTCTATTTATTCTAGTATATAAACCAACTCCTGGACACAGGTTCTATGACAGGCTTCATGCAGTTTTTCAGGATACTTAAGTACAAGCAGATTTACGAGTAAAAGTTTGCCCCTGCCAATTAGCACTGCCTACCCTGTATTGTCCCTTGAAAGCATCCTAGAAGGCTTTGCACCCCAAAATGCCTCAGTGTGCCCTCAGACTACTCCCCATAACATGGAACTTTCACTTTGCTACTTCAGAAACCTCTACTTCACTATGTTCATACCTCATCAGCTGAAGTCTCTTAAAATGTAAGCTGATGGCTAGCCTCCGCCTTATTTCAAACAAAACAACAAAACTCACAGGTAGTAGTAGATTAGATCACAATAGCAGACAAGTATAGCTGGGTGCTGACTCTGCTTTCTGTAGTAATGGCTGGAAAGAGGTGGGTGAATTGTAGCAAGTTAAAAATGTAGATTAGTTTGTAGAAGGTAGCTGAGGAAATGATGAAAAGTTAATTGAATGGTCAAACAGTGGCACCTCTTTGAAAATCAATGAATAAAAAAACAGTGCTTAAAACTGAATAAAAATATTATTTAAGCTATAAAGATACATTCTGAGATTTTGTTTAGGGGGTTGTAATCTGCAAACAAAACTCAAGTGAATTGAAGATCACTAAATTGTGGAGACGTTTCAATTAGAAATTGCTATAGCACATATTTTGGTTCTGGCAAGAAAGATTATTCTAATCTGTACTGTATTATTTTATTTTCTGTCATGTCAGAAGATCTGACAATAGAATTAATTCAGTGAAAGTTCTCAGACAGTTTCAGTCAAACAAAATTTGAATTTAGGGGGAGTGAAGGGGGGACAGGGGATGGGAGTAAAAAAGTCTTGCTCTTGAAATCTTTTGCATGAGACTTCATATGATTTAGAAGCCTTAACTGAAGGCCAGTGATTTTGTCCAACAGCCCAGGCAACACAAAAGGGAGAATAAAGTTAGCCAAGCAACAGTAGGCAGATCTTTTCACTGAATTACAGAATCGTATAACCTGGGTTGAGAAGGACTTCAAAGATTATCTAGTTTCAATTCCCCTGCTGTGGGCAGGATCACCAATATGATGCTTAGTGCAAAGGCAGGACATCTAGTTATCCTAGTCTTGTACAAAGAAGCTCTATTTTATATTTTCAGGTAGCACATGTTAAAAGTTATATCTGACAGACAATCTGAACGGGGAACCTTCTAGCACACACAGTCTTCTCAGGGAAATTTTTTGATACTTTGGTAGATCTGTATATATCATTAGCACTTTTCATTAATAGCTTTATAAAGTTTATATAATTTTGTATATGGTTTCTTGTCTTTTTTATTATTCTTTTTCCTAGAAGAAACAGAAATCTCCTTTCTTTTCTCTTTTTTCTTCTATCTCTCCCCAGTTTTGGCAAGAAAGCCACTAGGGGAAATAATCATGAACTAATTATGAAATATAATATCATATTTTATAATTATGAGATAATTATGAATGGTCAGATCAGCCAGTTCTTTCAGACATTTTTAAAGCTAAAGCCTGGCCCTTTAAAAGAGATATATAGGTTTAGTAGTTTTTTTTAATAGCTTCAGAGTTTCAAGGAGTGACAGGTGCTGATTGCCCTACCTATGTCTTTAAGGAGTGACATTTCACATTAAGCAGCTGATAGGGTTCTTATTCAAGCATCACAAAATCTTATACTTTTTAGGATACTTAGCTCAGCAGATAGGAATGGGTATTGTACAGTTAACAATTCATTTCTTCTCTTTCTAACACTGTGTTAGATCACTGTCAGCTCTTCCTGATCACCATTAGAACAGAAACGAGATCAAACTCACAAGTGTATATAAAGTATTTTAAAGTAACAAGCCATTAAAAACTTACCATGTGAGATTATAAAAAAAAATTGTGATTCTAATGGGGTGAAATTATGCTGCTTTCATTCACTACTGGGTTGTTTCTGGAACAGAAAAAAAAGAGTATGTGATAAGGTTATTTTCAAGCAGTTTGATTTGCTGTCTTTAAGATGAAAAAAAAAAGGTATTGTCCATGTGACAGCCTTCCGTGTAAACAAAGCCAAATTGAGAAATTCTTCTGTTTTGGACTGGTCTCCATGATAAACTCCATGTTAGGTGGAATGCCAGAATTCTAATGTGAATACTACCCCAGTTTTCCCTGAAGACTTCGTATCAAGCACAAGACACAGGCCTGAGGAGACCTTTATGTATGGACACAGAGAAGTATGAGTCACATTCTGCAGTCTGAGAGCACAAGCTAAGCTGTTATGGTGACAGCCAAAGGGTTTTATGTTTCCCCAGTAGATCAGAGCACTTGTGACTGAAGGCACTGTTTGGCAACAGAAGGAAATACTTCGGATCCATACATTTTTAGTTTGCAAATGTCACTGGATTCTGTCACTTGGCCACAGATCAGTTCTAGCAGAAATCCCCCTTGTAATCAAGTGATCCAGCATAGCAGCCTTATTTGGCTTACTACTTCTTACCTATGAGAATAGAGCTTGCTTCAAAGGTTCCGCATCAGCTACTGGAAGCAGTCTGGCCTCGGCAACATGGAGCTCTCCTTAGCCTGGAAAATCTGTTCCTCTGCTGCAAAGAGCAAAGCTATTTCATTCAAATGTAGCTCTTTATTGCTGTCTGGAAAGCATATGTTATTTCCAGATGTGCTAGGTGCAAGAAGTAACTATTCAAAGATGGGTTGGATATATTTCCCTGGGTCTACTTCTTTCCATTTCAAAGGAGATGCTCTGAAACCATTCTGTGATGAGACAAACAGATATCGATTGCTTAAATTCTTCTCTTAGGCACAAATGTTACTGAGCTGAGGTGCCCAGGATAATGTAAAAGCAAATCTGTGTATCTATGAAACTTTCCTTAGTGACCAGATTGTTGCACAATTATCATTAATTATTTATGGATGTTACCACCCACATCGTTCCAGACTCTTTCCAAGCTATCCCTGCCTGAACAGTAATATTCCTTTGTATTAAAAAAAAAATGGTGGCAGTGATGTCAACAGTGTTGCAACCAGGCTGTATCTGACCCATTTTGCACTGTAACTATTGCCATTTTCTTAAGCTCTAGCATAGCAGAGCAGAAAATGTGACTTCCAGAACTATTCAAGAAAGCATAATTATCCTTGATTGTCCAAGGGATCTATTTGTAACATTAGACTTTAAGTTTAAAGACTGCAATATTCCAGGGAAATTAAGCATGCTGCATAAGGGAAATGCATGCATGTTGAAAAGATGCATTATTAGGTGCTTAATGTAATCACAGTTTCTGGATTGCTGTAGAGAACTAGGGCAGTATTGCTTTGAAAACTGTTGTGTTCATGCTCAAATTTCTCCCTACCAGACACATCATAGTATAAGAGAATCACAGAATGGCCAGGGATGGAAGGGATCTCAAGCATCATGAATCTCCCACCCTCCTGCCACATGCAGAGCCACCAGCCTCCACATTTAATAGTAGACTGTCATATACATGTGTAAACTCAGGATATGTTGAAAAAAAACCTACTGAGACAAACAGGATGAATGAGTTGAGCTGTTGCATTGTACACACCTAAAAAATTAATTTCCTGTCTAAATAATCATGTATGTTGTCTTTCTTTTCTTTGCAGAAAGGGAACCTAGAAGATTATTGACATCATGATGGATTTGAAACAGCTCCAGAGGTCGATTCTCTACACTCAGTTTAGATAATAGCTTAGATATCCTCTGATCTGTGTTAATTAACATTTGAGGAGCTATCCTCAGAGATGCCTACGCTAGAGATGTGAGATACACTGCCTGCTATGTACCTGAGGTTCTCTACCTATCATACATATGCCTCAAATGCATGCAAATATTCAATACTTTTTCCTATATAAGAATCAGTCAGTTACTTAACATTGGATCTGGTACAATTTATATTTATAGAGAGGGGGACGAAGAGCTATGACTCTTATGATTCTACTTAAATGGAAATAATTTGTATGCATACAGTGCCTCATAGCAATGTTATTTCTCTAGCTATTCTTAGAATGGTCCTTATTACCATGTGACTCATAGGACAAAAAAAATCATTTAAACAATTTAAACATTTTTTTTTTTCCTGCCCGTCATTTATAATTGGTTTGTGCATTAGAAACTGATATCCTTCATTTATTTCTGTGTACACAAGCGTGTGGATAACTGGGAGGAGCAGAGGCAGCAAGCAGGTATCTGTGTATGTCCAAGGAAAAAACATCCAAATACAGGTAACTTCTAACATAACTGTAACATATAATCTTGAAAACACCAACCTTTTAAAATTAATGAGAGAGTCCTTTCTTAATATATCCTACTTGTGGTAGAAGGTACTGTGCTTGCATTTGTTCTTAAAAGGATGCTAATCATTGTCTTCTCCTTTTGTGTGTCTATTTAGTCATATTGATTCATTTCTGGTCAGAAGTGGAAAACTACTTTGATTTGGAGGGCAAGTTTATGTAAAACTGTTTTAACAACTTTTCTAACACAGTGGAAAATATATATATATACATAGCTGATTTAGCTAGAAAATGTTATCTTGGATTTCAATCTTTTCTTGCACTTTAATAAAAAATCTAAATAAATTAGTACTGTGAATATTAAACTAATCTTCAAACTTCAAAGAGTAAAATCTCAACCTTTTTTCAAGTCTTTGGGAATTTAAATTTTGGTAGGAGTAAAATAATTTTATTTAGCAGCTATATGGCAAAACAGTGAGAAAAAAGTATCTGAGAAAGTGTTGTAATTTCAAAGGTAAACCAGATAGATAATGTTATGTAAACATGAAATTCTGGTTTATCTCAAATGTATTATCATTTGGATCTTTGGTGAAAAATCCTACTAATCAGTAGGCTTATTGGAATTTACCTATTGTGTTACAGAAAACTTATAATTAAACAATTTTGTTCATCACATATATTTCCACTGATTAATTTGATAAACAGTATGACTATTATATGGTCCTACTTTTGCATATCAGATTGTGCAACCCATATCCTTCTACCATAAGGAAGATTAAATTGAAACAATGCAAACTGGATAATTGTCAAATCACTTCACTGCACTCCTTCTTTTCCAAAACAGAGAGGGGGGAAAAAAAATAAAGTTCTTACCTACATATAGTATGGACAAATAGCTGCATTAAAGTAATTGTACTCAAATCCATTAAAGCATTAAAAAAAAATCAAAATTAAAATTGTTACTTCAAAACTCTACGCAAAATATGAGGAGCATGTTAACAAACATGACTGGGCCCTTGTTGTGCCCAGGCTGTGAGCTTTAGTTATGTTATTGCTTAAGCCAAAATTTAAATATCCTTATACCAGATGGTTAACTTTTTTTTTTTTTAATTATTATTATTTTTTTAATTAGTCTGGGATTTGTCTATTTCCCTGTGTTTGTTAATATTGATTATTTTACAACTCTATTGAGCAGAATAGACTCAAAAGGAATTTGTTTATATTAACACAAAATTAAAATCAATTACTCTGTCCAGAAATGAAGAACAAATTCATAATTGAATAAAAAACAGACAAAACAGAAACATCAGAAAAATCACTATAGAATTTCAATAATATACCACTCAGCAATTACGTACTCTTGTTCAGTTTCATCTCATCAAACAAAGGATTTTCATATTAGTGTAAATTCAAGTTTTCTACTTATCAGTTTCAGACCATGAGCCAACCTTGTGCCAAGCAGCATCTTACATTAAACAAAAATCCCACTGATTTCAGTAAAACTACTTAGATAGAAATACTGTTCATGTTAGTAATGATGGTCAAAATAGATAACAGTGATCTGCATCATATATTCGAGAACTATTCCAGATATTGTTAATGTATCCATTGCCATAACAGTTTTCCTTTATGCCCCTGAATTTTTACCCCATATATTACTGCATAAATTTTATATTACTGCATGAATTTCATATTATAACATGAATGAAATGTGCATAGCATTTCCAATAGATTTTCTTTGTTTCTTTCAGGATATTACTTATGACACTTTCCCCTGGAGTAAATGCTGTGAACTGGCTCACATTTCCCTACTTCTACTCTTTTGAAGAGTAACTATGGATAAGAGCTCATGGATAACCAGTGATGCTGACACACATATAGTTCCTCAAAACTTTACCCTCAAAATCTTGCTGTTTCACTGGTCTTGTTCACTTCCACACACCAAAAAAGCTCTCCCCAACTTGGAATTCAGGCCTGAGTACTAGAAGGTAAAAATCTTGTTTTTATACATTTGGGGACCAGAGCGGAGTAATATAGTTGTCTTCATAGAAGTTGTCTCATAGAATCAGTTGCCAATTTTGATGGACCCATTAACATAAAGATATTATCTTTCCTTTTGGTCCTCACATTAATCATTATCATAAACCAAGATTGCTACCAGCCAGTGAGTGGCTTAAGCAGGCAAATAAAGGAGGGCTGTTCTGAAAGTAATGCCTCTTATTTTATTATGTTGACCAAGATGCCAGATGCAGATGTTACTGGTATGTCAGTAGAGACTGAATGTTTCCACCAATATTCCATTACATTTTGCTGTGATACAGCAGATAGCAATAAGGGGGGGGCAGTCTGAAAAAAAATGGTGTCTTGACATGGAAGGGCAGATGAAGCAAAGGTATGTGATTAAATTCCTCCATGTAGAAAAAATGGCACTTATTGACATTGACACTTGCTGAAAGTTTATGGAGAGCAAACAGTGGATGTGATCACAGTGAGAGAGAGGGTGATATATCTCAGCAGTTGAAAAAGTAGTGGGGCACCTTCACTGATACAGATTTTTATGAGTGGTATGCAGGTTCTTAGAATCATAGAATCACCAAGCTTGGAAAAGAAGACCTATAAGATCATTTCACCCAACCGTCCTCCTATCCCCAACAGCTCTCACTAAACCATGTCCCTCAGAACAATGTCTAAATGTTCCTTGAACATGTACAGGGTCCGTGACCCCATCACCTCCCTGTGCAGCCCATTCCAGCATCTGATCATTCTTCCAGGAATGTAGTGTTTCCTAATATTCAGCCTTAATCTCCCCTGGAGCAACTTGAGGCCATTCCCTCTAGACTTATCACTATTTATATGAGAGAAGAGGCCTACACGCAGCTCACTACAACCTCCCTTCAGGTAATTATAGAGAGATATGTCTCCCCATGCCTCCTCTTGTTTATGAAAGGTGAAAATACATAGCTAGCAGTGGTGCCTATGTTGAAAAACAATGAGATTTTGCTCTATCAAGTAGTGTTATTTTGCTCTTTGTTGTAGTTTCAATAGAAATAAGGAGGTATTACTTACATTACAGAGCTACCTGTGTAGTATGTGCATTCCACTTACAGCTAATTTCTTGTTTTTATCAACAGAGCCTGTATCAGACAAATTGTTAAGACAACAGGAGATCTCACCCAACAGAGGTTCATAGGATTTCTGTATCATGTAATCCCCAAAACATGTTTTCTGTGTGAAGACTAGCATTCAATTATTCTTCACGTTCATAAACCATTACAGGTGAACTATGAATGACAGCAAGAACATGATGCCTGGATTTAAATATTTTGTAGTTATCTGCTCCCACTGTAATAGCTATCTTCTCCTTTCCAGTAAATATTGGCATTGAAATATATCTGATTTTAAGATGCCTGACACTGACAATTATCCTGCTTCATACATCTGGACCTCAACAGTAAGGAAACAGATACAGCCTAAAAAATAATAATAATAAAAACAAAATTCTCCACATTCTTGCAACACATAGTTGAGCAACCAAATGTGGAAACAGAAAGCAATCAGATAGTCGAAGAACAGAACTAACAGAACCACTAAGAATCTCCTCTGAAAACTCTTCAGACTATGGATTTTTCTATCACATGAAGTCCAAACAAAAATCACTTTGCCAAATACTAAATACT